GCAATTTCCCATCTGAGAATGTATACATGTATGCTACCCAGTACAGTAGCCAGTGACCACATTTGGTTACTGAGCACTTGAAATCTGGTGCATCTGAAATGAGATGTAATTTAAATGTATCATATACACTGAATTTTAAAGCCCTGGTGTAAGTAAAATAGTGTAAAATGTTTCTTTTTTTATTGATTACATGTTGAAATGATCATATTTTGGATATAATGGGTTAAATATACTGTTAAGATTAATTTTACTTATTTATTTTACTTTAAAAAATGTGGCTGCTAGAACATTTAAACTTACATATGTTGTTCACATTATGTACGTTTTGAACCTTGTTAACATATACAGTTCTACTTGCATGCATAAGAAATTATGTATGGGTAAAGAATATCTGAAAACATCTTTAATATTTACCAAGAGTCTTTGCTAAATAAAACATGATACGTTCAGACAATAGACTATTACATGAACTGAAAAAAGAATGAGACCAACCTGCCCTAAGATGGGGAGCTTTCTGCTAGATATCATTAAATTAAAAAAAAAAACAACATGGAATAGATGTGTAGTGAGCTAATGTTGTATATTGAATGAATTATATAAATTGTACTTATACATAGAATATTCTTGGAAGATGCACAAAAAGTCATTCTTATTGTCCTAGAGAGAGGAAATTGTGGTTCACCATAAGGGGTTGGAAGATTTATTTTTAACTCTACCTTTTTGTTCTGATTAAATGTTTTGAAACATGTATTCATTACCTATTTATTTTTAAAAAAAACTGTATTTACAAGCTTTCATTTTCTTTGAAGAAAACAATCCTTATAAAGAATTCCTGAAGTCAGCTATGTGAAGGTGGGAGATGGATGAAAAACAACAAAGCCCTACACAAGAGAAGGCTCCTAGGAAATATCTATTTCTTTCCCTTCCCCACACTTTGGCTAAGAGCACAGATGTCATAATAGAATCTTCCCACATTTCAGAAATCCCTTAAGCATCCCTATTATGTTATGGCTCTAGAGATGTCCAGTGTAAATGGAATGAGGCTATATTGATCCTATGACATGCCCTGGAAGTTAGTTATTTCCCCCCAGTAAATCCCAGAAACTTGCCTGCTTACTTTTATATGTCTCATCAAAATGGAAGGCAGCTTATATAATGTACAACTTCCCAGTCAGTATAATATTGTGGGCTGTCTGCAAATTTTATTACTATATTAAGAGCTGAAGCAAACTTTTCCAGTTATTACGTCCTCGGTACTAAAATCTACACTCTCCTTGTCAGTCCCTTGATTCTTTGGCAGTTAAAACCCTCTCTTTTATTTCTGTATCAGAAACTCTATGTGCTTCCCCAACCTCTTTGTCTACTTCAATAACCTCTTCTCGCTTTGATGAAGTTTGTTGATTGATTGCTTCTCATGGGTATGACTGGCTTTCTGGCCCTTTGTCTAAATTTAAAACACTGGAACCATCCTTCAGAAAATACACAGTGCTCCATCAATTGCATTTACTCATAAAATTTTTTTATTTTTATTTTTTGCAAAAGTCTGTTAATTCTGCTTCCTCATTTCCATTCCCATTGCCTCTGCCTGAGTCCAGGCCCTCTTTATCTTGTCTAGAATATGTCAATTACCTCTTAACTTGTCCGTGTGCTTTCAGACTCCCCACCAGCAATCCATTTTCTACTTTACTGCTAAATTCTAAAAACAGATTCATGCCTCCATTCACTCATTCATTCATCAGACATTCATTAAGTATCTCCTTTGTGTCGGACATCATGCTAGGAACTGGGGACACAAAGACTAATTTTTCAAAGGCAGGCACTACATCTCTGGAGCTTAGAGTCCAGTGGCGGAGGCCAATGTGCAGAAACACGGTTTACAGTGTATGGGGGTGGACACAGGATGCCCTGGCAGCATCCATTAAGCAGGGAAATTTCCCCACAGCCCTTGCCATCTGGTCCAACTGTTAAGAGCCAGGAGGAGGTGTTCTAAGCAGAGACAGCAGCAAGGTCCAAGGCTAAGCAGGGTGGTGCATGGTGTGTGTGGTGAGTGTGACTGGCCAGGGGGTCAGAGGAGATTTAGAGCAATCAGCATCAGGTAGAGGCACAGGGCCTAGGGGGCAATGCAAAGGAGTTTGGACTTTATTCTGAGGGCATATGTTTTAAGAACAGAGGTCATGAGATTGGATTTGCATTTTATTTAGATCATTATGGTAGAAGTTTGGAGGAGAGCTGGAGGGATGAAAGACTGGAGACTGGAAAGAAGGTTAGGAAGAGGCTGTTTCAACTCTCCAGTCATGAGGATAACCTAAATCAAGGTAAGAGCAGTGCGGGTAGTGAGCATCAGACAGACTTGAAAGATATTCAACAATGAAATGAACTGGGTTTAGTGATTGACACTATTTGGATGTTTGTGAGAAGGAAGGAAGAGGGAAAAGTCAGAACTGACTCGCAAATGTCTGGCTTGAGCCCTTGTATGACTATGAGAGACTTTGGAAGGGGAAATGGTTTGGCAGAGAGAAGATGGTAGCCATTGAGTACATGGGTCTGCACTCAGGTGAGAGATTGGGACTGGAGACATTCATTCTTCATCCATTTACTCATTTAGCTAATAGGTATTTAGTGCCTATTACATGCCAGACACTAGTCCAAGCACAGGGGTAGTGGCAAACAGGACAAAATTCCTGTTCTTGTGGCACCTTCATTCCATGAAGAAACTAAACAAACCACACAAGTAAATCAATGCATAATGTCCTGTAGACATGTGCTTTGAAGACAAATACATTAGGATAGGGTGAAGAGGCAAAGTGTGGTGGGGTGTGAGGGATATTTTACATATCCCCCCAAGGTTGTCCATGGAAAAGCATCTTTCAAGAGGTGATATTTGAGCACAAACCTGAACAAAATGCCAGAGGGAGCCATGTGAACGTTCAAGGGAAGAATATGCAAGGAAGAACCATGCGGGTCAGCAGGTTTCCTAAGCAATGGGTAGCAGAGGCTGTGGGAAAGAGGGAAGGGGAAAGGGATGCAGGTGTTCATATAACAGGACCTCTAACGGTACCTGTAAACCCTGATTTCTTGAGTGTATATCATCTTGCTTCCTCTTGAAGCCAACTCTAGTACTAATTCCTTCCTCCACCATTACTCCCCAGCCTATGATAAATATCATAGCATTGGCAACTTCTATCACTAGTATTACCTTGATATAATCTGAGCTTCTCCAAGGTAGGGATGCTGTTCATCTTGGCCACTGCGATACTCAGCACAGTGTGTTAGGAGCCGGTTCACAAATGTGCGTTGATAAAACAATAATGACAAACAACAGGACATGATTAAGGTAGAACTGATGTCTAGGGGAGGGGTAAGTGGTTGGTGATAAGTAGGGTCAAGGGATTGCTTTGTTAAAAAACAACTTTAGGCCGGGCACGGTGGCTCAAGCCTGTAATCCCAGCACTTTGGGAGGCCGAGGCGGGTGGATCACGAGGTCAAGAGATCGAGACCATCCTGGTCAACATGGTGAAACCCCGTCTCTACTAAAAATACAAAAAAATTAGCTGGGCATGGTGGTGCGTGCCTGTAATCCCAGCTACTCAGGAGGCTGAGGCAGGAGAATTGCCTGAACCCAGGAGGCGGAGGTTGCGGTGAGCCGAGATTGTGCCATTGCACTCCAGCCTGGGTAACCTGAGTGAAACTCTGTCTCAAAAAAAAAAACAAAAAAAACAAAAAAAAAACTTTATGTTTTAAAGCCCTGTAGTTTTACATATTTCTCTTTGACATCTTTTGGTATTCATCTTCTATCTCTCTGAATAATAACTTAATTCGTGATTTTTTTTTTAATTTTAGGATTTACCTATTGACTTTCCATTATAGAAGACGAAGAATCAGTTCTCTCTGTACCCTCCTCTACCCCAACTACACACATATACACACTACCCATAACCCTACCAACCCATTATAGCTGTATCATGATTTTGGTTAAATTAACATTGCATGTTCACATTTTAATGACTATGTAAATAGTATTCATACCAGGTTATGTGACATATTATGGTTGTTATTACCACTTTTCCTTTCTTGTACAACTTTTTATTTCCCTGGTGGTGGTTTTTATTATTATTATTATTATTATTATTATTATTATTATGTGTCACTTGGTTAATTGGTTGGTTTTCTAGTTTTCTGTGTCTAGTCATGAATTAATCTCCTAATCTACTCTTTCTGTAATACTTCTGTAACCTCCTCAATACAATTCAACACATGAGGGGTGTGTGTGTGTGTGTGTGTGTGTGTGTGTGTGTGTGTGTATGTGTTACCCTTCCTGATGATAGCACTACTGGAATCTTTTGACCTGCTACCTGCCCTGCCTGGTTGCTCTTTGGGCCCAGTGCTCTCCTGTCATCCTTGCATTGTTCTTCACCTTTCTGAGGCTGGATGTCCTGTCTTCCTCTGTTTGGGTTTACTCCTTTATTTTGGTGTATCAATTCCTCAAGTAGCTTCTTTGCTTCTTTTCATTAGAGATGTGGTGTCACCATGTTGCCCAGGCTGGTCTCAAACTCCTGGGCTCCAGCAGTTCCCCCCCCTCAGCCTTCAGAGCAGTGGGGAGTACAGGTATGAGCCACAGCTTCCGGCCTCAAGTAGCTCCTTGATAAGGTGCGCAGGAGGAAAATTTGTTGAGACTTTATGTGTTTGAAAATGTTTTTATTCCTTCTTGACACTTGAATTATAAGATAGCTAGATAATTTTAGAGTAGTAATCATTTTTGCTCAGAAATATGTATATTTTTCTACCATCTTGTAAATTCTAGTGTTACTGTTAAGAATGGAAGTCATTCTTTTTTTTCCTCATTAAACTTTGTTTTAATGGGTCTCAAAATTCTGTGACAGCTTTTTAGTCAAGTTGTTTCCATTAAAAAGTACTGATTTTAAAAACGAATGACTTAAAACTGCCACACACAAAAAAATAGACGAAAACAACAAAAACACAGAAACCCAAACATGGTCCACAAAACATTCTCCTTTCCTTCTGAAGGTTTTGCAATTCATTGTTACCATCAACCAGTCTTTTACTATTAAATTTAAATGGCCAAATGAAACAAACAGTTCTGACACTGTTCTTTCACCACTGATTAAGACTAATATTCATTAGGCTTCTGAGGTTTCTGGGCAGACTTGATGACCTTGCCAGCTCCAGCAGTCTTCTTGTCCACTGTTTTGATGACATCCACAGCAACTGTCTGTCTCATCTCACAAACAGCAAAACGACCCAGAGGAGGATAGTCCAAGACGTTCTCAACACACGTGGGTTTGCCAGGAACCATATCAACAATGGCAACATCATCAGACTTCAAGAGTTTAGGGCTATCTTCCAGCTTATTACTGTAACAGCGATCAATCTTTCCCTTCAGCTCAGCAAACTTGCAAGCAATGTGAACTGTGTGGCAGTTCAGTAGAGGGGCATGGTCAGCACCAGTATGGCCTAGAAGGTTCAGGATAATCACCTGAGCAATGAAGCCAGCTGTTGCCATTGGTGGGTCATTTTTCCTGTCACTAGCAACTCTGCCACAACAAACATCTTTGAGAGACGCATTCTTCACACTGAAGCCCACATTGTCTCCAGGAAGAGCTTCAATCAAACCTTCATGGTACATTTCTTTTTTTCTTTTTTCTTTTATTGAGATGGAGTCTCGCTCTGTCACCCAGGCTGGAGTGCAGTGGTGTGATCTCGGCTCACTGTAACCTCCACTTCCCGGGTTTAAGTGATCTTCCCACTTCAGCCTCCCAAGTAGCTGGGATTACAGGCATGCATCTGGATAATTTTTTTTTTTTTTTTTGTAGAGACGGGATTTCACCATGTTGGCCATGCTGGTCTCAAACTTCTGGCCTCATGTGATCTGCCTGTCTCTGCCTCCCAAGTGCTGGGATTGCAGGCATGAGTCACCACGCCCAGCCCATGGTACATTTCAACAGACTTTACTTCAGTTATAATATTGACTGGAGCAAAGGTGACCCCGCATATTGGGTTTGAGAACACCAGTCTCCCCTTGGCCCAGAAGTACAGTACCACTACCATCAGTTTTGTAGACATCCTGGAGAGGCAGACACAGGGGCTTTTTAGTTACATGAGTTGGTGGTATGATGCAGTCCAGAGTTTCTAGCAGCGTGTTTCCACTGGAGCCATCTTTATGGGTGACTTTCCATCCCTTGAACCAAGGCATGTTAGCACGTGGCTCCAGCATGATGTCACTATTCCAACCAGAAATGGCACAAATGCTACTGTGTCTAGGTTGTAGCCAATTTGCTTAATATAAGTGCTGTCGTTCTTAGCAATTTCCTCTGCTGGCCATAGGGTGGCTCAGTGAAATTCATTTTGTTAACACCAACAATTGGTTGCTTCATACCCAGTGTATAAGCTAGAACACCATGCTCATGGGTTTGCCCATTCTTGGAGATGCCACCTTCAAATTCGCCAACATCAGCAGCGACAATCAGAACAGCAGAGTTAGCCTGAGATATGCTGGACTCATGTTTATGATAAAATCTCTGTGTTCTGAGACATCAAATTTCCATGGGGAGATATCAATGGTCATACCACGTTCAAGCTCAGCTTTCATTTTATCCAAGACCCAGACATGGGAAGGAACACTTTTCCATCTCAGCAGCTTCCTTCTCAGATTTTTTGATGTTTTTTTTCTGTTGCTGCCACCACATTTGTTGATCAGATGACCAGTGGTGGTAGATTTGGCAAATCTTTGTGTCCAATGAGGACGATGTTAATATGAGTCTTTTCCTTTCCCATTTTAGCCTTTAGGAGTGGTTTTCATGACACCTGTGTTCTGGCAGGAAACCCATTGTGAAAAAGCCATTCTGATTCTTGAAACTTGTTTAGTAACTTTTTTTTTTTAAGACTATTTAAGGCCTTTCAAGCCAGGGTTCTTAAATTCAACAGTTATGTATTTTGTTGTGTTTTCTTTTTCTCTTACAAGTGAAGACCCATCACTTTATTTCTTAATAATTAGGAACTCTGTTCCTGAGATCTTTTTAAAAATAAAGTTATCGGTGCATAATATACGAACAACAAATTACATTATTTAAACCCGATATCTTAATAATATTGAATCATTTAACTCATGAATATGATATAGCTCTTCATTATTTAGGTCTTTAACTTCTCTCAGCAATGTTTTGCAGTTTTCAATGTACAATTATTGAACATATTTTAGTACATTTATGTGTAAATATTTCATACTTTTAGATATTGTTGGAAATGAAATTGTAATTTTTACTTTTCTGATTGTTTATTGCTAATACGTAAAATTCTATTTTTGTATATTGATCTTGCATAGGCATTATTGAATTCACACAGCTCTAGTTTTTTTTCTGGATTCCTTATGATTTTACAGTACACAGTCATTCTCTTTGCAATAAAGAGAGTTTTACTTCTTCCCTTCTATTCTGTATGGTTGTTTTCTTCTTCTCCTCTCCCTCCTCCTTCTCCTTTTCCCTCTTCCTATTTTCTTTTCTCTTTCTTTTCTTCGTCTTGTCTTATTGCACTGCCAATGGCCTCCAGAAGAATGTTGAATAGCAGTACTAGTAAGACTGGGTTTTCTTGTGCTAATCTTAGGAGAAGACATTCAGTCTTTCATCATTAACTAAGGTGCTCTCTGTAGGCTTTTTGTAGAGGACCTTGAACTACTTGAGGATGTTTCCTTCCTTTTGTTTTTTCAGTTTGTCAAGCATTTTAAATCATGGATGTTAAAATTTTTAAAAATGTGTTTGTTTCATCTGTTGATATAATTATATGGGCTTTCTCCCTTATTTTGTTAATTTTGTGAATTATGTTAATTGATTTTTGAGTGTTAAACCAATCTTGTCTTTCTGGAATAAATCTCACTTGATCATCATTCTTTTTATAAATTACTGGATTTAATGTGTGTGTGTGTGTGTGTGTATAATTTTGTCTCCATACATAAGGGCTATGAGTTATGGTTATTTCTTCTAATCTCTTTTTCTGGTTTAGTTTCAGAGTAATACTGCCCCTAAAAAATGGGTTTGGCAAATATTCTCTCTTTTTCTGTTTTCCTAAAACGTTGTATTATTTCTTCATGTGTTTGATAGAATTCAACAATAAAGCCATCTGATCCTGGGGTTCCTTTGTAAGATGGCTTTCTCAATTTTGAATTCAATTTCTATGGTACATATTGATACTCATATTTTATCTATTTCTTCTTGTGTCAGTTTTAATATCTGTCTTTCAAGGTATTCATTTGTTTTAGTTGTGACCAAATTTATTGACATGGAGTTGTTTATTTCATTCCCTTATCTTTGTAAATGTCCTTTGGATTTATATTGATGGTTTCTCTTTCAATTTTGTATTGCTAATTTGTGTTTTCTCTTTCTTATTGATAAGTCTAGCTAGAGATTTATCAATTTTATTAATCATTTCAAAAATAAGCTTTTGGTTTCATTGATTTTTCTCTGTTCATCTTTTTTCAATTTCATTGTTCGGTACTCTAATCTTTATTTTGTGTTTAATTTGTTCTCTTTCTAAGTTTCTTAAGAGAGAGCATAGATCAATGATTTTGGACCTTTTTTTTTTTTTTCATAATATAAATATTTAAACCTAATATTTTCCCCTAAGAACTGCTTTAGCTGTCTCCATGAATTTTTATTGTTGCATTTTACTTATCAATCAGTTCAAATATTTTCTATTATTATTAATATTTGTGATTTGATTTCTTCCTTCACCTACGGGTTGTTAGAATTAAGATAGTTTTATTTCATGTTTGGGTCTTTTCTAGATGTGTTGTTTTATATTTATATTTAAGACTGTTGTGATCAGAGAGCATGCTCTGTAAGATTTATTCTGTTAAAAATCTATTGACTTGTTTTATAGCCCAATATATACTCCATCTTTATGTGTATTTGAAAAGAATGTTTATCCTGAAGTAGTTGGCTATAGTGTTCAAAAAATGTCAGTTAAAATAGTTGAGAGTGTACGTACAGATTTTCCACATCTTTTCTAATTTTTTTCCTTATCTGGATGTTGTATGAATTATTGAGAAAATTCTGTCAATTTCCCCAATAATGACTAAGGGTATGCCTTTTTCCCCCTTTAGCTTTGATATTTATTCTTCTTATATTTCAAAATTATCCTCTGTTCACATAAACATTTAAAATTGATATGGCTTTTGGTTTCACTTACCCTTTTATCATTATGAAATATTTCTCTTTCTCTCTGGAAATATTATCTTGATGGCTACTTTTGGAAAGCTGTATATATTTATGTAATTCATATATTAGCAAATCTTCCAACATTTGGCATCTATTGTTTGTTAGACTATTATGCAGAACTGAGGAAACAGGATTTACATCAGCACAGAGGCAGGAACAAAAATGACAGGACTGTTCCAGGTCCAGTAAGATTTGATGAAGCTGTAGCATCAGTGGAGGACAGAGGAGTGGAGGTTTCCATTTGGCCCTTTACACTGTATTTTGGCTCTTGACTATACAGCATAATGGTGTGGGACAGTCTGTGCAGTCTTATGGTCCCAGGTTTAACTTCTGACTTTACTATTTTTTAACCTTGTGACCTTGGGCAAGTTACTTAACCTCCATTTCCTCTTATGTAAAGTGGGGACAAATAATAGCATATCCTTCATGTGTTTTTAGAAAGATTAAATTATATATGTATTGCATACATACACATTATATCTATACATACAAATACAATGCTTAGTATTCAATAAATACTAGATAGACATATTTTCATATTATATCATGTTTGTATATATCATATTACATGTATTATTATATAATTTTTTCATATAGTCTAGTCTCAATTTTCCTGCTGGCTTCAATTTTCAGAGATTTAATTAATTGTCCTTTTTGTTTGAAGCTTTCTGTTTTCCATTTGCTCCCATTCTCCCTGCCCCCACTCCCTTACTCTACTTTCATAGTTCCCAACTTTCTGGGCCTCCTCCCTGCCCAAGCTGGATTTTATAACCTCAATAACTGCCGACTCTACAATTAAGGCAGTTGCTGCTTGCTCTCTTCCTCCTTTTGCCATTTCCCATGAACCTCAATAACTTGGCTACGATTTCAATTTCTGCTCTGAAAAAAATGCACTTATTAGAACTTTCCAATTATCTGCAATATGAATACAGATAGCTGGGGCCTAGTTGAGAAACACACCTCATGTAGTTGTGATGAAAGAATAACACTGCAGAAGAAATGCCCTAGAGTTATGATAAATATTCTCAGCAAAACTTGTCAGTAGGGCTAGAAAAGGCCCTTTGGAAGGGGCATTTGAAAACTCGGCTCAGCAACTTCCTTTTCCACCTTGAGGCATCCCCTTCAAAAGAATTCCCAACCAGAGGATGTTTGATGTTCTTGACCTCGCAGCATGATGAGAAAGAAAGATCATAGGTTTTGAAGTCGGTTAGTGCAGACGCTTACTGTTCGGGTTATTTCTCAGTCTGAGTGCATTTCCTGGCTGGTAAATTGCAGGTAGGCATCCTTTCCTAAATCCACATCTACAATAGTTTCCCTTATTATGGGTCTTCGTGCAACTTATACCTTTCATTATCATAGTTTCATTTTCCATTTAATTATCTAATAACGTCAGCCTCCTATAGTGGATTGTAAGCTCCACGAGGCCAAGCACCATGAGAATTCACTGTACTCCTGTGTCCCCAGGCTAAACACATCACTGTATACCCAAGAGTCTAGCATAGTGCCTGGCACACAGTAGAGAGCAAGTGAATGACAAAAGAGCAGCTGCCAGTGGCCGGAGCTCCGTCGCTGGGGCGTAGAGAGAGCTGCCCTGGCCCGCTGTTCCCGCCCTGGCACTGGGATAACTTTCCCCGTGGAGCCGCAGCGTTGCCCCGGCCAGAGCCTCTATGCCCCTTTCCCGTCCGGCCAGGAGCCACAGCTGCAGGCAGCGCCTTGCTGCGTGACGTCACTCGGGGCGGGACTTCCGGCCGCCGAAGTTTAACCGTCCAAGCGGGAGCCGGAAGCCCATCGCTGAACGGGCCGCGGCCCCCTGTTGTGTTGCCGCAGAGAGGTGAGGTTCCGGAGGTGCTGGGATCTGCGGGGCGCCGCCCGCCGCGTCCGTGCACCTTCCGGATCCCAGGGGCCCCCGTGTCCCCCTCAGAGGGCGGGGCGGAGGTCCTTGGGCTTTGCGCGCCACAAGCAGTTGCCTGGCAGGGGCGAAGCGGCGCGCTGAGCGCTGAAGCGTCCCGGGAGCAGCGGGCCGAGGTCGCGCACCTCCCGAGAGGCGGCCCAGGTCAGCTGGGGTAAGGTTGGTGTTGGCCCTGGGGGATGTGCTGCCTCCGAAAAGTTTGCCTCGTTTCCACAAGCCCGTCTCTTTCTGTCTTTTTTTTTTGTAATTGTCAACCTCAAGTACTTCTCTTTTGCCCTGTACTCGGATGCATTTTACAGGGTAGCCCCAATTGAGCGGTTGTCCTGCAAATAAAGTGCATTTTTGGTGACTGAAAGTTGGAGAACTTGCATTTCAGCTGAGTGGGGTAGCTGAATTGGTTCCCGTAGCCGCTGTCTCTAAACCCAGGCCGACGTTACCGCCTGTGTCCTGACTGCTCGCTTTCCATGGGACCCTCTTTGAGGGACTGATGTAAAGCCTCTCCCTTAAATGTGCTCAGTTCTCAGGAGACCGAGGTAGTTGGGCAGATGGTCCTCTTCCCCGCTCCGCTTTAAGAGTGAAAAACAGTAAATCACTTGGCGAGTTTTGTCTCCTTCATTGGAGCAGATCGTTCGAATCCAGGTTTTCTGAGCCCTGGCCTGAGTGATCTCCCCACTACACCCCGCAGCTCAACAGGCCTGGTGTAGCATGCGGGTAGACACAGCTTGCAGTTGTGTTTACAAGGCTTAGAGATCGCTTTTCCAGCAATTCATTCATTGTTCCTTGACTTGTGAACCAAGAGGGCACGTGTTACACAGGTTTAAGGCACCAAATCCAAACACTATGTTAACATTTCAGCAGGTAACTTTAAAGTTAGTAGCACTGTATCGGATGAATGGAACATAAGGAAGCAAATGAGTGAATCACATTAACTTTTTGCCTCGAGAGTGAAAAGTTTCTATAATGATGCCTTTAACTTGTCCTCTGAAATGGTTTAAACTAGACATAAGTGTGATGTTCTGTTAATGACTCGGGGACCTATCTGTGACATCACTAATGCTGTGCAGTAGTCTTGCACTTTCCATACTAGGGCTATGTGGGAGGTATAATTCTGTGCCCTCTCCCTTTCCCTTTCTCCCATGTATTTTTGATCATTTTTTTCCTCACCTATTGTTCATTATTACTTGTCACTCTTTAAAGTGCCTGCCTAGAGCAATTTCCTTGCCTTCTGTTTTCTAAACTTCCTTGGTTTGTGAAATCACCTTGTTAGAATTACGTGTTACAACTGTATACTCTGAATAAATGAGTGAAGACACTGTAGTTCAAGTATTGGTATAGGGACTTAGTGGCATCTTATTTGACCATATTGCTAATTTTACAGTTATTTGGGAAAACTGGTGTGACTAGATTCTGACCTGGACAAATGTTAGTTTATCATCATACATTTCTTAAAAAATTAGGAAGTTACTTATTAACAATTATTTGTTGAAAAGCTGTGGTGTGCCAGAAGTGTTTCAAGACTCTGGTATGGAGAGATAGACATTATTATGAAAACAAATAAAAATTTAAGATAGTGACCGGGCGTGGTGGCTCACGCCTGTGGTGCCAGCACTTCGGGAGGCTGATCACCTGAGGTCGGAAGTTCGAGACGAGCCTGACCAACATGGAGAAACCCCATCTCTGCTAAAAATACAAAATTAGCCGGATGTGGTGGCGCATGCCTGTAATCCCAGTTACTCGGGAGGCCGAGGCAGGAGAATCTCTTGAACCCAGGAGACAGAGGTTGTGGTGATCAGAGATCGCACGGAGCTGAGATTGCGCCATTGCACTCCAAATTTCAGATAATAGGAAGTGCTATGAAAAAAATGAAATCAGGTAGTGGGATATAGGGTAACCTGGTAAGCCCCTTACCGGGTAAGGGGCTGCTTTAGCCGGGGTGGTCAGGAAAGGCCTTTCATAGGAGGAAACATTTGAGCTAAGACCTGAATGATGAGTAGGAGGTGACAATGGGAATCTGGGGAAAACATTTTAGGCAAAGGGAGCAGCAAAATGAAGAGACACTGAGGTCAGAATAACCTTGCTTTTGTATGAGGCAGACAGAAGGCCAGTGAAAAGAGGAGAGTTACATGGGGCCCAGGACATGTAAGGCAGGCTAAGGAGGCTGGATTTCATTATAATTACCGTGAGCAGCCATTGGAAGGGTCAGCTAAGATAATGTAATCTGGCTTATGTTTTAGGAAGATCACTTCAACTACTTTGGTGAGTGCACTGTTTGGAACAAAAATGGCCGAGTTAGAGCCACTTGTTTTAGATTAGATTTTGACCTTTTTTGAATATGTGTATTAAATGTTTTTAAAATATATTGTTTTAAACTATTTGTAGGCGCAGTCATGCAGGAAAACCTCAGATTTGCTTCATCAGGAGATGATATTAAAATATGGGATGCTTCATCTATGACATTGGTGGATAAATTCAACCCACACACGTCACCATGTGGAATCAGCTCAATATGTTGGAGCAGCAATAGTATCCTTTAAAAAACAAGCAAACAGACAAAAACCAAAATCATAAACCACTTATTAGGTTAAACAACCACTGTCAATGAAACTTTTTCTCATACTGTGCCTCATACTGAGATATATATTTTGCATTTTCTATGAAGGATAGAAAACGTAAAATAGTAGTTTACAAAACAGTATATCATATGAATGCACTCTGATTTTGTCTGTTGGGTTCATTGAAAAATTTAGTTACAAATCACTTCATTGGAAAACACTGCTATTAAAAAAAATGTGTACTATGACTACGTCGTAGAATTAGTTATCAAAAGTTTCTTATTGAACCAAATGGAATAAGGTGGGTAATTATGGAAATAATTCTAAAAGGTTTTGGAATGAGTTTTTGCATCTGCATTTGGGTATTTGTGAATCTGAACTGAAAATTAAAGACAGAACTTGAAGGCAGAAGCAAGTTGAGGAGGAGATAAAAAATTGTCCATTATCTCCATCTTACTGATGTACTCTCCATATTTCTCTCTCTCTCTCTCTCTCTCTCTCTGTCTCTTTGTGTGTGTGTGTATGTGTGTGTGTGTGTGATGAAAATTACATTATTTCCTAAACAGACATAGTAAAATTATCTAGATTGAATTTTTCTAAGCTTTTTATGTTTCTTATTAACGCCTTCCCTGTCTTGGTGAGCTTCTAAATGTGGATAAAATAAAATGAGGGAGTGAAGACTGCAAACTAGGGTTTTTGAACTCCGCGCTATTGACATTTGGGGGCAGAAAATTTGTTTTGGGCCTTCCCTGTACATTGTACCATGTTGAGAAGGTTTGTTGGCCTTCTCCCATCAGGTACCAATAGCCTCTAGTTGTGACAACCAAAAAGGTTTCCAGAATTGCCTGAATCACTCCCAGTTGAGAAACACTGCTGTAACCATACTACTCTTATCACCTTTTATATGAAAATGTTTTATATAATTGGTGTGTTAGAAATTTTCTTTTGTGAAACTCCTACGCTATTTCTTAACGAATTAAATTTTAACATTTGTCTGATTTTTATCAACACCAAAGTACTAAATTCTACTTTCTGATGAAAAAAAGCTTTAAAATATGACTCAGGAACAAAAATATTGAAAGTTTTATAGGAACCTAACTATTCTTGCATGTATATAGCAAAAAGGACACATTTTCTTACTGAATTAAATTTACCTCCTTATCATTCCTTGATTTTGTATTAAAGCAGTAAAATAAATTACTTTGGTACTCTGTTAATCAAACTGATGGTAAAGTGAGTGCCTTTTTGAAGGACTCTCCAGATGTGTAGTAGGGAAAATGTTTTAAAGAGAGTGACAAGTATATGAAGTTGCTGTTCTCTATTTTTAGATTTTCATTATCTTTAGAGCTTAATTTTCGCTCTTACTGTATAAGAGAAAAGTAGCAATTCGTAGTAAGATTATTTTTTGGTTGACTTTTGTTTCAAGGAGTTTTACTAGGAGTTGATATTTACTGATGTGCTACTTAACAGTCTAGCAACAAAACTGATGTGACTATGAAATAGTGTTGTATGACTTTTGGAAATTGGTCTTATAGTTTTCTTGTATGAGCAGATGTGCACTGAAAGCCTTCCTACAGTCTTATTCTTAATAAGGCTTTGATCACTTCCAGAGAGTTTAATTACTGAAAAGCAAAAATTCCCAGCCTTAGCAACTTGGGGTCCACATAGCATAGATTTCAAGAATGGGGTTAATGTGAAGTGCCAGATAGATTACAGGTTTGTTTTTTGTCCTTTAGCTTATGTTCCTCACTTTTTCATGATTTCTAAAACTACAAGAGAAATAAAAAAGTAACTAGATTAGCCACCCACATTGTATTTCAGTCCTTTTCTATATTCTAAGGAGAAGAGTAGTGGTAAACAGAGGAAGAAGCCAAGGAAAGGGAAATGATTTTTCTCACTATTGTGATATCTAGGTAGAAATGATTTTGTTTGCATCATGTATCATAATAAAATTACAACCTGTGCTCTGTCTACAAAATACTTGAAAGTTATCCAAAACATTCAAAAGTAAATGCAGTTAGGGATTCTGAGTGTCTAACCTTTCTCCATTGCTTTTACTCACAGATTTTAATTGCTAAAAAGCACAGATTTAAACTTCTGATATTTTAATTTGTTATGGCTCTCAAAATTAGGCTCTTACTCTTGGTTATATTGTTATGTTTAATTGTTTTAGTTTTAAAATACTTATTGTTTGTGTTTACTGATTGTTGTACTTATAATTCATGTAAAATAAGGTAAATACAATTTTAAATTAAGATTAAATTAAATTTTATATAAAAATTAAAACTCGTTCATAACAAACAATTCCTATTTAACCATACATGTTTATAAAATATTTGTAAGTTACAATATTCATTCTTAATTTAAGAAGTATTAATTCTTAATTTAAGTAGTATTCATTCTTAATTTAAGATTAATTCTTTAAGATCGAAACATTCTGTCACAAAAATTCATGTTCTGGGAAAAAAATCAGGCTTTTTTTTTTTAAATAGAAAAATAGGAGACTAGTATGGATGTTTGCTTCCTAGTTTAGATTGGTACCAAGCACTGGGTTAATATCTTGAACAATTTCTGCAGATGAAAAGGTTGATTGATATTTGCTGGTGCTGCTTTTATCATGCTCTCATTCTTGAAGGATAAAATTAGCCCTCCGGCCTACTCTTTGAAAACAGAGTAGTATTTCACATGGGTTAAATAGCTCTTGAGTGATAGTAGAGCCAGAAAGAAGGATGGCTCTTCCCTGCAGTAGTAACAAAGAATTAGTCTTAGTAATTATTAATAGTAACATGAGCCATTTTTGAAAGCTAATATATAAGCTGTACTCATTGTCTTCCTAGTGTGTTTGCTTTTATAATTGCAGTTCTTAGTCTAGTGCTATAGATGTTCATGGATTGTTTGATGCTCCATAACTCTTCATTTAGACAATTTTTTAGTAACAGCATCTTCTAGTGGCGACAAAATAGTTGTTTCAAGTTGCAAATGTCAACCTTTTCCACTTTTAGAGCTTGCTGAAGGGGTAAGTGATTTTTTTGTTTAAACTTTTAAAAATCTTAGTTTTGTTTGCCTGGCAATTGCTTATTTATTATGGTGCTTGTGACTAAATATAAAGGTGTTTAAAAGCATCATTTTTAACTTAAGCTCAAAATAATATGGTAATACTTAAAAACAAGATATGTATACTTATTGAAGCGAAGCGTTTTTAGGTAAAATAGTATTGAGTATTAGGGGAACAACTGAAGACTTGAATTTGGTTAACTAGGCACTTCATTTCTCTATTTTCCTTCAGTTGGAGAGGATCCCTGTTGCTGCTCTGATGTCCCACATAGGTTACTAGGTTGACCTGAGCATATGAACTCTAATGACACAGCACTGCTTTACTGATCTTGGGCTTAGGACCATCAGGAAAAGACCCAAAGCTGATGGTAGCCCTCTGCTTCAGATTCTGTCCACCTGTACTGAGGGGCCTGTTTGAGCTCCCCCACACTCTCCTTTCACAGGTTGGCTTTGTCATAATGAGTTTAGGTCCCAGGGCATTTAAATGGAGCTCTCATTGCATGTTGTTGCCTTATCCTTTTGTTTTATAAGTTAATCCCTCTGATTGAGGATAATGCTGGCTTCTTCATTTCCAGTCACATACTACTTGACAGCTGTTTCTTTTTTAAATAGGATAGGATTTAAATAAAAAAGTATGAGTAGTTGATAGCTTTTCTTTTTTTTTTTTTTTTTTCATTTCAAAGTTTTTATAGCAGATTCTAAATTGTTATGAATTGTCATAATTTTACACACTGGGATAGGTAAGGTAGCCCAATTAGAAAACAACCGGACAACTGAATAAAAGCTCAACTAATTTAAAGAGGACTCATGATTTTTATCAGTCCTCTCCTAAAGGTATCCGGTGGGATTGACCTGAACTTCAGTTCTAAACCACAGATGTTGGAGACTGAGACAGGGAGAACATCTGCTAACAGTAGAAATGGAGTTTGAGGCACTCTGTTTAACCTGTCTTAAGCAAAATCAAGGCACAGAATGTCCCTGGTTGATAAAAGGAAAACTCAAGTCTTCAAGAGCAGGCAAAACATCTTAGCCATCTTTGGATCTTTATATCCTGAGAAGTTCAAAAAACATTTGTTAATGTCAACATGAAAACAATTTTGACTGCTACCTCTACCACTATATATACATACTACTTTTATGCATTATGCCTTAGAATTAGTGAACCAGTATTTGGGAGCTTTTTTTGTTTGTTTGTTTAAGTATAAAAATAACAGATGGTATTCACAAGTGTGACAATAATTCTAAGAGTTTTGTGAATATTCCAAATTAGTTGCTATGATTCTTAGCCCTCTTTCCCATAGTTAACAAATCATATCATAATGCTGATGGATAAAAGATTAGTTGAATTCAAATTTTGAATCCATTTTAATTTAGTTATAAAAATATTTAAAGTAACATATTAATGTGCTAATAACCACTTTGTTAGTTCTAAGTCCCCTTACTTGTGTACTGTTTGAGGCATTAGACCTTTTTTACTTGAGAAAATGAGTTATGATTCTACTCATTTTAAAATTTTAGAGAACTTTTTCATATTTATTTTCTTTGATTTTATATTTCATCTGTTTATAGTAGAATTGTACCTTTTGCCTTGAATCTTGAGAGGTACAGGATTCCTGTAATGACTATACAATTTCCATTAATTATTTAAGTTCATTAGCTGCATTAATAATACTTTATCATAAAAAAGACAGGGTTAGCCAGCTCTAAACATAAGTTTTGTTCTGGGCCCTTAAGCGTAGTTATAGTTGGGGATGATTAGAATCCCAATATATTGATCCTCGATGGACACCTTTTCTATTTTCTTTAAAGGTTGTTTTGATAGTACTTAGCAAACTGTCCTAATTTGCAGTAACAACCAGATTCTAAATCTTACTAGTCTCCTTCAACCAAAGTCAATTCCTAGAATGGTATCTGCAGGAGAATTACAGCAATTATACTGAAACATTGATGTTGTGTGCATCGTGCTATTTTTATGTTAGTTGATACTCTTGGTCAAAATTTCAGAGCTAGAAGAAACCTTAGGGACTGTAATCGGGGGAGGGAAGGGACTATCTGCACCCTTTAAAGAATCTCTTTTGAGCAGAGGATATTTCTGAGAAGCATGGACTCTCAAGATAAGGACAGTAGATCTAGTCTTCACCTTTGGTTTCTCAAATGCAGAAACACAGGCTCAGAAAGGTGAGATGATTTGCCTAAACCTACATAACTTGCCTTTTAACTTTTAATGAAGTCATAAAATGTCCCCTTTGGATTTGAAGAATCCAAGGATGCACTGTGGAAGTTACAACTAATGTAACTTCATAGTGCATCTGAAGGTTACATAGGAAAAAAAATGCAACATTGTGTTTTGTGTAGCATAGTTACTGATGGCACCACCAGATTGGTGACACTCAAAGATACTCATTGAGAACTTGACAACCTCTGTATTTTAGCCATTTATTCTATAAATATAGAGCATGGATATGGGCTTTGTGCTAGTGAAACTGACATTCTGGCAGGGGACAGGCAGTAAACCAGTAAACAAAAAATACCCAGATATTCATAAGTTATCATGCAGAAAACTAAAATAAGATGCTGTGATAGCAAGTTAGATTAGGTAGCCAGTGGAGGTCCCCTGAAGTGGTGACACTTAAGTTGGTATTTATTGGCCGGAAAGTCTTCCAACCAAGGTTCAGAGAATTTAGCTTTCTAGCCAAGGAGAATAGCTGTGTAGAAGCCTTGGGGCAAACATAGGGTTGTAAGTTTAAGGAATGGAAGGTCAGTATGGCTGGAGAATTAATTAGTGGATGAGGAAGAAAATGGTAAAAGATGAGATAAGGCCAGTTAAATAGGACTTCAAAAGCCAGGTAAATGGTTTTATTCTTGGTGTTATTGGAATCGATTGAAGATTTTTAAACAGGAAGGAGACATAATCTGATTTACATTTTTAAAGCCCACCCTACTTATGAAGGATGGAATATAGGAAAGCAGGAGTGGGAACAGGGAAACCAGTTAGGAAGCTGCTATCATGGTTTGGCAAGGTTTGGGTTATTGTTAGTAGTAGTGATAGATAAAGGGGAGCCATGTGGGATTTATTTTTGGGTTGGAGTTAGTTTACTGATAGATTGGAGGGGAGGGAGAACAAGAAATCTAGGGTTATTCTAGATTTTTATCTTGAGAAACTGGATGGTGTCTTTACAGAGATGGGGAACAATTGAGGTCAGGCTTTGATGACCTGATGTCTGAGACTTGGTCTCCTTAACAGGGAGATTTGCTGGGAGACTTAGGGCAAGTATCTTGACTTCTTTAAAAAAAAAAAAACTTACCCCATCGGTAAAATGAGGGCTCTACACTTGGAAATTCTTTAAAGTCTCTTCTATTTTTAGCATTTTTTGAGCTGGGGATTGATTTTAATTTAGGATATTCTGTGCAAATACAAGAGCAGACTTTATCAAGGGGAGTTGGGATGGGCAAAAAAGCCCTGATGGGAGACCAGGACTGCTGGTGTTTTCTAAGCTTCCTGTATCTTCACTGGGTCTCCGGAAGTGAATGCAAATCTATTTGATTTCCTTGAAGCATTTTTGACCCCCTTAAAAGCTGTTGGATCCATGTGAAAGACAGTGATGGTGGCTCTTTAGTACAATATTAGCATGTTTATGGTATTTAATTTAGCAAATATTTATCACATGCTTACTAAGTGTTGGATGAGACCTGACAGTCAGCTCTGGGCTCTGTTCAATTAAGGTAACTTTTTTTTTTTTTTTTTTTTAAATAGCAAAAGCAGACATGTGTCAGTTTAAATTCTACATCTATGTATTTGGTAAGCGGAGGCCTAAATAACACTGTTAATATTTGGGATTTAAAATCAAAAAGACTTCATCGATCTCTTAAGGTAAGCAATTTTAAAAAGTCTTCACAAAATAATGGATATCTTACAATGCATTTAGTCTAGTTACCAAATTTTATTTTTGAGCTTTTATGATAAAAATAAGGGGCTTCAGAATTGAACTAAGATTTGTTAGGGAAAATAAAGGTGCTATTTAGCCAAAAACTTGTGGGTTTTTTTTTTTTTTTTTTTTGGATTACAGGCTTGAGCCACTGCTTTTTTTTTTTTTGCTTTTTTTTTTTTTTTTTTTTTTTTTTTTTTTTTTTTGGCTTTTCCATGTATAGCATTAATGCATATGATCAATGTTTAAAGCTTTTTTCTTAATTTTTCTTTTAGTTCTGCTTTTGTTTGAATGAACCACTTCACTCATTTTTGTAAACTATGGTTTTTGGTCATCAGGGATCTTGTTTTAGGGCACACTGGAAAAAATGAGAGTTGTTTGGGGATGATAGTATTCAATTTAGTAATCAGAGTTGGGGAGGTCAGCTTCTTAGTTATGCAATATATTTGGCTGCTCGGGTGTGTGTGTGTGTGTGTGTGTGTGTGTGTGTTTGTATTTTTAACTTGGTAATGAAATATTTTATAAACTAATTTACTATTTTTAATTATTGTTTCTTTACTAATTAGCTTTTTGCAGTTTCAGAAAATAAATATTCAGCATAAGAAAGTCTGGTTATGATTTTTTTGAATTCTAGTTTTCATTATATTGTCTTTTTAATATTTAGAAGTTGATCTTAAAATTGATTTTTGTCTTTTAAAAATTTAATGTGAAAAATGTAATCATATCTGCATGTATACACAGAGGAACAACTTTCTTTAACCCATGTAAACTTCATTTGCCCCATCCTGCATGGCCATATTTGATTCATTTTTCTATCTTCAGCTTTCACGATTTCTCTGGATGGTTTTCTCTCTCTTTGGTGTAAAATTCTTAGTGCTTAGCGCCTTCATTCATTCTGTTAATGAATATTTTAACTCATTGTGATAGTGGGAAATCTAATCTTTTACCTCTGGATCTCTGCTCTGCAGTCCTCTCCCTGGTGATTAACACAATTTCTGGCACTTGATAGGTTCTTAGTAAATGTTTGCTTAATGACTTATTTTCCACAGTTGAAGTTAGGAAGAAACTTGCCTCTTTATAGAGTCACAGAATTTTATATTGGACCTCTTTATATTGGACCCCATGTTCTTAATTTCCCAAATGGGAACAATACACAAAATGTCTGCTCTTCCTTTTTTCTTCTCATCAAACATTTTTTCCTCAGGATAGCAAGTGTTTCTTGGTTTTAGGAAAGGAATAAAAGGTAAAGAAATCTCTGAAAATACTTGACAGACTACTTGATAAAGTTGTAATATAGGTGGACTGTCATAGCTATTATTCTTGCTATTACATAGATATACATAAATATAAATAAAAATATAATTTTAATATGAATAAAAATATAAATAATTACATAATTATTAGATATGAGGATTATTAGTTGGTATTATTAAGATATGGCATCAAACTGTTAAAAACTCTTCTCCCAATTTTGATCACTTTTACCTGCTCCTGCTAGACATCTCTAATTTGATGTTGAAAAACATAGTCCTTGTGAACTCAGTTTGTTTAAAACCCAACAGTTTTATTCCTCAATGTGAATTCCCATTTGGATTTGAGAGGCAGCCTGGTATCATGGAAGGAACAGAGGCTTTGGAGTTTGACATGGAATTGAATCCTGGCTCTGTCACTTAGCAGTTACATGAGCTTGCACAGGTTTCTTAAGTTCTCTGTGTCTCCTGTACCTCATTTATAAAATGGGCAAAATGACCTTGACTCTCAGGCTTTTCTAAGCATTAAATAATATATGAAACTCTCAGCACTATTAGATACTCAGCAAATGGAAGCAGCTGCTGTTATCTCACACGTGTCTTGCTCATTTGTTTTTTCCACTCTTACGTTGTGTAACATCTGGTTTCTTTCCCCTTCCCATGATTTTTCTCTTTTCTTTAAGGTTGAACTCCAGCTTTATGTCTTCCATAAAGTTTCCTCTGTCAACTTCGTTCACAGTAGCTCTTTCTCTGTCCTCTGACACTTTGCCTCCATCATTTATTTAGCATATTCTCTGCCATTTTCATGTTAAAGCAGGAACTCAACAATAGTCAACTTGCAATACCTGTTATTTGTCAGAGGAGTGAATTCTTTAAGGTAGACATAATGCCATGTAGAAAATTACCTTTCCATAATGTCTCTCTCTTTTTCTTTTCAAGAGTCCCTGGACCATTTTTATGGTTATGAAAAATAATTCTCTGTTTATTTGAGGAAAAGTTTAAAGCAAATATCAGATTGGCAAATACATAATATATGGTATTTACAGAAACATGAAAATGGGCTGTGGGGGTTATGGGGCAGTGTACTTACTTTCATTTCTCTCTTTCAGGATCATAAAGATGAAGTAACTTGTGTAACATACAATTGGAATGATTGCTACATTGCTTCTGGTTCTCTTAGTGGTGAAATTATTTTGCACAGTGTAACCACTAATTTATCTAGTACTCCTTTTGGCCATGGTAGTAACCAGGTACAGTATGAGTTTATTCAGAGTAAAGTTGGTAATACAGATTTTGAATTATATCTTACGTAAAGCTTTGAATGTAAGTTTTTACAATGCTTGATTGAAAAACTTACTGGTAGCTGTTTTATAATGGTAGTGTTTTAAAATACTCAGATAGCAAGCTAATTTATACTAGATTATGGTGCTTGTATAAATTTGATTATGTAATCAAATAGTCACATCCTCCTAGATTATAACTGTATACAGTATAATAAAATACAAAATAGTTGTTAATAGGTTAAATGTAAAAAATGGCTATCAATCTTTCTACAGCATTACTGTAATAGCAGTGTGTTACATAGCTCTGACTTTGTCAGCTGCAAGACAGATACCCTCATAAATACTGTTTTGTGGACATGGAATGATTGGTTAGGCAGAGGGTAATTAAATTTTGTATTTTTGTTTTTGTAGGTATATTATAAAATATCAAGGCTTATATATTTCAGGTTAATATAAGAATGTTTTAGGAAACTTTCTGAAAGGAAAGTAAGTCACTTTTTTCCTTTATAAAAATATTTAAAAGAATAAATTCAGTTTTTCAAGGAACCTAACTCTTGGTTAACTTTCCATAAAATTCTCCATAGAAATTTTCAATGAGGTGCAAGTTCTTTTAATTTTTACTTAATTTAATTGTAATCTCTTTGACTATAACTATTATCAGATAAAATAGGGGAGATCTTCACTTTTGGAAAGTAGTTTTTAAAATTATTATTTGAATAGTATTTCTTTAGTGCTTAAAAAATTTAGTACCATCCTGGTCAACATGGTGAAACCCCGTCTCTACTAAAAGTACAAAAAATTAGCTGGGCATGGTGGCGCGTGCCTGTAATCCCAGCTGCTCAGGAGGCTGAGGCAGGAGAATTGCCTGAACCCAGGAGGCGGAGGTTGCGGTGAGCCGAGATCGCGCCATTGCACTCCAGCCTGGGTAACAAGAGGGAAACTCCGTCCCAAAAAAAAAAAAATTTAGTACATATGAAAAGCATACAGGAAAACGTCTTTTTGAAGTTTCATATGTATTGGGGGAATAATACAGATATATAAATGGTGTTATGAGTAAGTGATATAAAACAGTCTGATGGTGATTCAGAACAATTGAGAGAAGACTATCTGGGAATAAAATAGGGAAAATTGACAGGGTAGCGGAGTTTCACCTAGGTCTAAGGCTTATGGATTTTGTCTTGCTATGACAATATAAACTGGCCTCTTTGCCAGTTATTTGATTCTAACTTGTATTAGCGTTAGCCTTTTTTGTTGTTTGGTTTTTTTTTTTTTTTTTTTTTTTGAGACGGAGTCTTGCTCAGCCGCCCAGGCTAGAGTGCAATGGCACAATCTTGGCACACTGCAACCACCATCTCTCGGGTTCAAGCGAGTCTCCAATCAGCCTCCTGAGTAGGTGGGATTACAGGCACCTGCCATTGTGCCTGGCTAATTTTTATATTTTACTAGAGATGGGGTTTCACCATGTTGGCCAGGCTGATCTTGAACTCCTCACCTCGGGTGATCTGCCCACCTTGGCCTGCCAAAGTGCTAGGATTACAGGCGTGAGCCACCCCACCAGGCCAGGGTTAGTCTTTTTTACATGTCCACATTATTGGTGGAATCATGGCTTGTTTCTTTGTCCTCAGTTTATTGTCTAGTTTCCTGCCTTATGTGGAGAAGATGCTTAATAAATATTTGAATGTATGAATATATTTAGAGATGACAAAGATTTTATTAGGCAAACATAAAGCTTTAGAAGAGGGATTTTTTTCTTTCTTTCTTAGAGACAGAGTCTCACTCTCACTCTGTGGCTTACATTGGCATGCAGGGAAATGATCGTGGTTCACTGCAGCCCCAACTCCTGGGCTCAAGTGGGAGCCTGGCTAAATTACTATCTTTTTTTTAATATTAGAGACAGGGTCTCACTATGTTGTCCAGGCAGGTCTTTAACTCCTGGCCTCAAGTGATCCTCCTGCCTTGACCTCCCAGAGTGCTGGGATTATAGGCATGAGCCATTACACCCAGCTGGGAGAGGAAAGTTTTATATAGGGGAAATCACATTAACAAAAATAACAAGAAAGGAAGGTGCATGGGCTTTACATAAGGCCAATGTGAGAAAATATTGGGAAAGGGTAAATATGAATACAGTATTGATGTAAGACTGAATGTCACACAAAGTACTTCTGTTTTGGAAGGTATTCAGGGAAACTAATCAGAGTTTTAATTAGTTGAATGTCAGAAACGTAGAATCCTTGAACATTAAAAATAGCCTTTAGAGGTAATCTGCTTTCTGTATTTTATGGATGAAGGTAAATGATTTGCCCTAGGATTGCTCTTTAGAGTATACAAATATTGTCATAAAAGCAGGAACTGATATTTTGTTTTGGTGATTTCTTTTTTTTTGTTTGTTTGTTTTTTGTATTTTGATATTGGACTGACTTTTCAGTAACATAAAAATTAGACCAGATACTACTATGTATATTCTTATGCTCCAGTTTTTATTTTTATTGTATCTTGGTAGAGAGTTTTCTTATTAAAATTAGACATGAAGGACTATTCCTGAAAACATTAGGTTTGACTATACTTTTTGACCTAATTATGTTTAAAAGATTTAAATTTTTGAAAACAATTGAGGTGTAACTTAACATGTAATAAAGTGCAGTGTACATATCTTAAGTGTACAGCTTGTTGAATTTTTATGTATATAGCCATACATTAGTACAACTACTAACAAAATCAAGATATAGAACATTGCCAGCACACCAGAGGACCTGCTTTTGCCTTTTCCGGTCACTACCTCATATATTATAAAAGGAATCATGTGGGCCAGATGTGGTGGCTCACACCTGTAATCTGAGCACTTTGGGAGGCTGAGGCAGGCAGATTGCATGAGCCCAAAAGTTCAAGACTAGTCTGGGCAACATGGCGAAACCTTGTCTCTATTAAAAATATAAAGAAATTTCCAGGTGTGGTGGTGCATGCCAGTAGTCCCAGCTCCTTGGGAGGCTGAGGCAAGATGATCACTTGAGCCTGGGAGGTTGAGGCTGCAGTGAATTCTGATTGTGCCACTGCACTGCAGCCTGAGTGACAAAGTGAGACCATATCTCAGAAGGAAAAAAAAGGAATCATGTGTCTGGTTTATTTTAGGCATCATTATGTTTGCTTTGTTGCATGGAATAGCAGTTCATACTGTATTAATACTGTGTAGTGTTTCCTTACATGAATTGGCCACCTTTTATCCATTCTGTTGTTGAAGAGCAATGAATTGTCTCCAGTTTTAGCTATTACAAGATAGCTACTGTGAATATTTTTGTATAAATCTTTTCTTTTCTTATTTGAGACAGAGTCTCGCCCTGTCACCAGGCGCCAGGCTGGAGTGCAGTGGCGCGATTTTGGCTCACTGCAACCTCTGCCTCCCGGGTTCAAGCAATTCTCCTGCCTCAGCCTCCCGAGTAGCTGGGACAACAGGCGCATGCCACCATGCCCAACTAATTTTGTATTTTTAATAAAGACGGGGTTTCACTGTGTTGGCCAGGATGGTCTCGATCTCTTGACCTCGTGATCTGCCCACCTCGGCCTCCCAAAGTGCTGGGATTACAAGCGTGAGCCACCGCGCCTGGCCTAAATCCTTTCTTTTAAAGATATGTTTTTATTTCTTTCAAGTAAATACATAGGAGTGGAATTGCTGGATTGTAGCATAGGCATATAGTTTTACTTTGTGAAAAGTTTTCTGAAGTGCTTGTGCCATTTTGCACTTCTATTGACAATTTTATGAGAGATCCAGTTGCTCCACATTTTTGCTAATAGTTGGCATTATCTGTCTTATTTTTGTCACTTTGATGGTTGTGTAGTGCTGTCTCATGGTGGTTTCAATTTGCGTTTGTCCGCGTTGAATGATGTTAAGCATATTTTTATATGTCGTCTTTTGTGAAGTGACTGTTCAGGTCTGTTGCCCATTTTTACATTGGGTTGTGTTTTTAAAATTTATTTATAGTTTCTTATGTATTTTAGGTAGATTCATTTTCAGGATGTGCATGTTGCGTATATCTTTTTTCAGCCATGACTTGCCTTTTTACTCCTTAATAACTTTTGTGTGTGTGTGTGTGTGTGTGTGTGTGTGTGTGTATGTGTGTTTAATGAACAGAAGTTCTTAAAATTTAAGGAAGTCAAGTCTCACATGTCAGTCTTTTCTTTTATGTTTGCTGCTTTTTGTGTTCTCTTGAAGAATCTTGCCTGCTTCAAGGTTTTGAAGATACTATTCTGTGTTTTCTTTTAGAAGCTTTGTTGTTTTGTCTTTCTTGTTTATGTTTTTTTATGACCCATTTCAAGTTAATTTTTGTGTATTTTGTGAGAGGGTTCTACATTCCTTATAGATACTAATTACATCAGCATTATTTATTACAAAGACCAACCTATCCCCAGTGAATTACAGTAATGCCTTCTTGCAAAACTGGCAACTGTATATGTTAGTTTCTAGTCATTCTATTTTGTTCCATTGGTCTAGTTTGAGTTACTAGTTTTAATTATTGTAGTTTTATGATAGGTCTTGATATTTTTAACTTTGCTTTGACTACTCTGGGCCTTTTGCATTTCCAGCTGAATTTTAGAATCAGCTTGCCTGTTTCTACCAAAAAATCTGCCTCATTTTGATTGAGATGATATTGGATCTCTGGACCAATTTAGGAAGAACTATTTTAACAATATTGATTCTTCCATGAACATGGTATATTTGTATTTTGATACAGTTGATATTTGTATTTTGTCGTTTTATCCAGAAATTCTGCTAAATTCACTTAATAGTTTTGACAGTCTTGATTCTTTTGAAAGAATGTGTAGATTTTTTTTTGCATTTACATTTTATACACTATCATGTCTGTCATCTGTGAATAATGTTTTTATTTCTTATTTCCTAATCTTTACATATTTTATTACTTTTTCTTTATTGCATTGATTGGGATCTCCAGTCCAGTGTTGAATAGAAGTGGTGA